TGTACATATGGGCTCAAGATATGTACCATTTATTCCCTCCTATTTCGGAATAGGGTCGCCACCTAAATTTTAGAATAAGGAATTTACTTAATAGATATCGAAATCCATTTTTTTGCCAAAATATTTTTTTAAAGCCATCCAAATCTTGAAAACTTTAAAAAGTATATGCACTCCGGGCAAAGCTCGGTCAACCTGGTACTTGTATCTTAAAGTCGCACAATTTTACATTGTGAAATAATGGTTGAAATGGTTTTAATGGATTTGTTGGGTATAAAAGCGCTATTTATATATTTTTACTCAGTTTAACAATATTTTCGTGTAGTTATAAAATCCTCTAAAAGCATTTTAGCCGATATTTTACATTAAAAAAATTCTATGAGTTTATGACATTACGACGCTTATGAACTCTTGTGAATACCCTAATTAAATATTTTTTATTACAGGTTGAGTTCAAACACAAGATCATTTTATTTTCAGAAAAAAGTACCATTAAAAATATATTGCAAACCACGAGATCTAAAACTGTTTCTATGTATGCCGGTAGTCTCTGACAAATAGTTTCAGCATTTAATTCGGACTTTGAGATGTAATATTTATAAACACAGTTAACGACCATTAACTAATTGTTCATTTGAGGTAAGCAATTGAAAGCAAGTAAATTAGTGCGGGAAAGTAGATATCATTTAAAAAAAATTATAATAAACCTAATAGAGGCTATTTATTACATTAACGGAAATAGCTAAATAGCTGAATATATATATTTTTTTTTTATTTCGCCAACGATGTTATACTCATTTAGATACTTCAGTTGCGTCAATTAATGTAATCGCAAAAACATTTAATTTTTTTATTTCGCCAACGATGTTATACTCATTTAGATACTTCAGTTGCGTCAATTAATGTAATCGCAAAAACATTTAATCATTGCTAAATTTCTTCATTATACGCTCATTAGATGGCAATAATTATTAATACCTTGGCAATTAAAAGTGATTTACTTGCACACATTTCGCACCTGTTGAATGTGCAAGCGCCTCGAGCAATGAATGGCACAGCAGCAGTGGCGTGTTAAAAAGCGCACGACAAACGTACACACCTCAATCATGTCTCATGTCCTCTATAGAAGCCTTTTGCGTTTTGCGTTCGCGTTGAGAGATTGAACTATTTTACATACTTAATTGCTCTTAAGTGGTAATATGACTAATAAAGTAAATAGTGAGCATTTCTAACTATGGGTGTGTTTATAAATATTTGTTTAATAGATTGGTTTTGAATTATAACCTACCACAACTATGGTGGTATTGTGCAAGGTAGGCCTACGAACTGGAAGAGTGTAAATAAAATATACCTACATACATAAGTTATGCAATTTTAAATCAAGTGAAACAACAGCCCTGTTTTTGAGTAAGTTTTTTTTTCGATTTGTATAAAAGGTATTTCGCTTACCAGCGCTAAAATTTTTTCAAAGGTTTCTTTTGCTTACAACATTTTCCCCTTTTTGCGAACCTGTGTCATGTCTGAAATCAGTAGTGACGATGAAGACCCAGAAAAAGTAATAATGCCTCTAAAGCGACTAGTGTTAAAGAGGCCTTATTCATATTAAGTACTTTTCAAAAAAAAAATAAAAAATTCATGAGACAGTATTGAAAAAAATTTTAAAATCTAAAACAAAACAAATCACAGTTTCTGTTATTCCGCTTTGCTGCAGATTTCGCTTAAGTGCACCAAATCATTTTCAGTGGAAGTAAATCAATACTGGCTGGCACAATATGCACTTATGCCATTACACAATCGATGTGCATCCAGGTTACGCATCAATATGACTGGAACCCAATTTGTGATATGGCACCCCTGACAATTCCAAAGAGTTTAGAAACTCTATAGGAATGTTGTCAAATCCTCATTTGCCATCACTATATCAACAGACATGGCATTTCCCTATAGACATTCGGACTCATTTTAGAGTCAGTAAAGTCTCAGAATTGTGAGCTAAAAAAAAGAGTCAGAAAAGAGCAAATTTCCCTTCTTAGAAGGACACGCCAATATGAGTCCAAGTTCGAAGTCATATTGGAGTCTGCAATATGACGCTTCCTGGGTCTTAAAAGCAAATATTCTTTATAATTCTGATTTCGAATAAACTTTTACTTCTTTTACGTTAATTTTGTTACACAGAATATGTTTGCGGGGATGTTGACGGGGTACATATATTTATGTACATTAAAGTGGTCCAAGTTTTGTATACGGAAAAAAAAAATTTCATCCTAGGAAACGGGACACCCCGTTAGTTTTTTCCTTTTGATATTTGTAATATGTATCTATACCAACTTTCAGTTTTCTACTGCAATCAATACAGGGTGCTCAATGACCTTGAAATGCGCAACTGTCTTTGTGCATACTTACAAGTGAAAAAAGAATCAGATGTTTTGCAGAAATGCCTCACAGCTGAGTTTTAATTTTAATAACTTTTGCCTTTTTTACATCACTTAAAATACCCTGTCTAACATTTTGGCAGGATATTTATACATTTTGACAGGTACTTTACAATTAGCTTCCAGGCGGTGGTGTCAACACCTCTTTCGGTGAGAAGAAAAATTTTGGAAGGTGCCCCAAGCCCTATCTTGGAAAACCATTTTTCACACCACTCTAATGTACATATGTACATATGGGCGACTCCAGCGAAAAGTCTACCGCGTAAAAAATTAAAAGTCATATATATAACTTATTTATAGGCCGTTTTGGCTTCTTTTTTATAATATGTACTAGTTATGTAAGGAGAAATAATTTTGCCAAAAATGGTCTCGTTAGGTGGCGCCAGGGTCGAGATATTTTGAAACCACGTATTTATGCTCTGATTTATTTCACATTTGGCATGTTTAGTTGAAACATAGTAGGACATAGATTTGCAAAAAAGGGAACCACTGGTGGCACTGATGTCAAAATAAAAAGTACGTTCGACATAAAAAGCATGTTTTCTTCACGATGAAAAAAAAACTTTCATGAACAAAACTTTTCCAATGGAAGTTTTAGTAACGTAACGCCAGGTAACGTCACGTCAGATAATTCAGCTCATTAAACATAGAGCAGAAATGCTTTCTAAATTTCAAAACTTGAAAAAGTAAGTACTACAAAAGATTTTATAAAAATAGTCTTGCCCAATTCGCAGAGCTGCGCAATTTTGTAATCGACGTCAAAATCATTTTCTGTTTTTTGTAACGTCACGCCCGCGCGTATGTTTACAAATATCATTAAATCGCTTCTATCAACAGTTGTAATTTTTTTTACTAAATAAGGGACCATTTAATTGTTATGTAAATCTATAAAAACCTTTTCAAAATTTTGATCTTTTCAATTGTTCTTTTTAACATTTTGTCATACGAGCAACACGTAAGGCCAGTTTGGAATATACATATGTATATGTTGGGGTACATCACTCTCCGTCGGAAATATACAATTTATTAAATTTTAAGACTTCCGCCAAAATATTTCTGAAAAATATTAAATTTACGTGGGCTGCAGCTATATGAAAATGCTTCCATAAATCGAGGCATCCCAATTTTTTAAAAATTGCATCAACGGAATTAAAATAATGCGATTTTTGGAGGTATTTTAAAATTGGTCTAGCTTATATTTATATCGCACCCTTAATCAAAAACAGTCAGAACTCAAAAATTATCAAAATTTCTTTTTTTTTCACTTACAGGTCACATACTATACTATATTTAACGTTCGCCAAAATTTCTTCTGCATCACCAATTTCTTTAACTGGAAAAATACATTTACGAATGGTTTTGTTTTGCTTAAGTCGCTTGCGAAGCATCAACAACTTTGCTTTTCCCGAACATTTCGAATTTTTTGAGTTGTGAATTTTTTTGATTTAGGGTGCGATATGCCTGTATATAAATGCATTACGATTTTCTCTTTATCCTATAAATATTTTTGTAAACGAAAACAAATCATTAATTTCCGTTTTTATATTTAAAGCCGCTCGCGGTCTTTAACGGCTAAACCTTTTTCAAGCGAATTGTTGACATATAAATGCATATCATGGTGCAATAAACTTATTAAATTTGCGACCATTTGTTGACAATTTTCAATCGAAAATTATTTACATGTTGTCGTCTTTGTGTTACCGTGGAAATTTTTTTCTTAAACTTTTAATTTCAATGGCTGCGTATCTTTATACATTCCAAGATAATCCCATTTCACAGCCAGAAAAAACAGAATGCGATTGAAATGTACGTTAACATATCATCAGGAACGTTCTAAAGAATAAGTGCTCAAAAAAAAGTTTCTTCCAAACGTTCAGAATGAATAAAGAACGGCAGCTAATATGAAAAAATATGATTTATAACTGGCAACAGCCAACAAATAATAAAAGCACAAAAAAAGCTTTAGCGATCAGCGCAATTAACGGCTATTATTTGAATTACTAAGCGGAAATAACAGCAACGGCAACAGCAGATATGCAAAATGTAGCGCTGCTGTTAACGTTTTGAATGTTAATAAATCAGCTACTGTAAGCGTCGACTGCTAGTGACTCTTACTTACAGCAAACTGTTATCGGCACTTGAAAAGTCATGTTAAATAGCATTGCTGCTTTTGTTGATTAGCTTGTCTACCTATAATATCAACACAGTTGATAAAATTCAGTTAGATCGCAACGGCACGAAAAGCGGTAAAGAACGGTGAAAATAAGAAATCGCTAAAATCATTAATTGATTTAATGACAGAAGGAGGAAGCCTAATCTTCCTAGTGCGAGTGCGTGATCCAGCCGTGTGGGAATTGCAAATATTTTTTTTATAGCTAAAGCTTGAAAGTTTAAAAAACTGGAAAGTGTTGAAAATTTTTGAAAATTATAGTGGCTATCAAACCTTTTTCAAAAAAAAAAAAAGAATTTAAAACAAAGTATATACAGTCATCATCATTGTAGAGTAAAAATAATAAATAATACGTTCTTCGAAAGTTCCCCAAAAAAAAAAACCACACAAAATCCTACAAAATGAGTGGTGTCCTACGTCGCGGTTCATTGAATTTCGATTGCGATTTGAGTGCACGAAATTCGCGCGGCAGCATCGAAACGAATTTATATGGCGGTTATCGCGACTCAAAGCCACGTACGCCGGAAATCAGTGTAATCGCCTTGGATTTCCGTCGCTACTCGGAGGACTTAAAAAAGGAGTCGCTGCCAGCGGTCGTCAGCGAGCCCCAGCAGCCAGCTAATGGCGATTTGAGTCAAGATGTCGATAGTGATGTGATTTCAAATTTTATCGGGCATCATGGCAGGTGGCAATTTGTGTGGACTGCTTTGCTCACCTTCTTTCAAATACCACCCACTGTGCACTTATTTGTCTACACATTTCAGGTAAGCGCAAAGAGAGTTGCGAATTCAGTAGCAGGAATTTGTTTTCAATGTTTATATGCACAAGTGTTTGGTAAAAATTTGATAGGCGTTGACGGCAAAAATGTGGAAAAATATGTGCTCGATTTGAGCCAGGTGAAATAGAAGAATGCTGGAAATTAATATGGCATGTTAAGGTTACCACAAAGGTGTTTTGAGGCCGCAAACGGGAATTTGTGAGACTGACTGACTGGCCATGAATGTGGCTAACGCCGCATTGACTTTGGTATCATTATTTGTACTCGTAATATAAATGTTATTTGCTATTTTACGAGGTCCCCTTCTCTTTGATTGAGGGTTTTAAAGCTAAGAAAAATATTTAAGAATATTGAAATCGGACGCTAACCACGCCCACCTACCATAAAATGTATTTTTTTTTTTTTGAAAAATGTAAGGACTGCAATACTTCAGGAAGTGCTGAAGTAAAATTACCCAAACCTGAAATGCGAAACAATGTTTGGGAAAGAAAATCTATTTTTTATTTTATTTCAAAAATGGTCGTATCTCCACCTACTTACTTCATTCGAATTTTCCTAAATTTTGCTACACCTACTAATTTTGGTCAGTCTCTCTAAGCAAAATGTTGAAAATTTAAAAAAAAATAACAATAACCACGCCCACCTCCAATAAAACGGTTTTTTTTCGATAAATGCAAAATCGGTGACATGTCACTATGATGTCAAAAAATTTTGTTTTCTAAAATTTCAGAAAAAAGTTCTGGCACCACCCAAGGCATATTAAACAGATAGTAGCAGTAGAGCCGCTGATTTGATTTTGTTTTTTTTGAAATTATTTTGTCTCCACACTGTAAAATGTACATACTGTTACTCACAAAATTGAGTGTATGGAAAGGAAAGAAAAAAATAACATGATAATCATGAAAAGGGAGAGAGGGCGATCGCCCCTGTATCTGCCACTGGTAACATGAGGGTCCCACTGCCAATTTTACTGGTTAAACGGATTTTCCAGTGTTCAATGCCTAACTGAATTGTATTATCTCATACTACACACTCTTTGAAAATGGTCATTGGTGTACGCCTGTATGTATGTATATACCTTGTCCTCTCTTGGAAGAGTGTCCAGGGTTGAAATTTCTCTTAATATCCAACTGTTAAGCTACCCATATGCATGGTCTACGTGTAAGTGAAAAACAAGGATATACACTCCCAGTAATTTGAATAGCACACCATTTGATAAATTTTATAGAGCATACTTTGGATGGGAGAAAATGTCACTTCTTCTTCTTATTTGGCGCTGTAACCGCCTAAGCGATTTTGGCCGAGCCCAAAACAGCACGCCAGTCATTTCTCTTCTGTGCTAACTGACGCCAATTGAAAATGCCAAGTGAAGCCAAGTCCTTCTCCACCTGGTCTTTCCAACGCAGAGGAGGCCTTCCTCTTCCTCTGTTACCAGCATCGCGGCCCGCGTTGAATATTTTCAGAGCAGGAGCGTTTCTGTCCATCCGAACGACATGGCCAAGCCAGCGGAGCCGCTGAATTTTAATTCGCTGCACTATGTCTATATCGTTGTAAAGCTCATACAGCTCATCGTTAAATCGTCTGCGATATTCGCCATCACCAACGCGTAAAGGTCCGTAAATCTTTCGCAGAATCTTTCTCTCGAAAACTCCAAGAGCCGCCTCATCAGATGCTTTCATTGTCCATGCTTCCGCGCCATACACCAGCACAGGCATGATGAGTGACTTATAGAGTGTGATCTTTGTACGACGAGAGAGGACTTTACTTCTCAATTGCCTACTCAGCCCAAAGTAGCACTTGTTGGCAAGAGTGATTCTCCGTTGGATTTCAAGGCTGACATTATTATTGGTGTTAATGCTGGTTCCCAAATAAACGAAGTCGTCTACTTTTTCAAACTTGTAACTGTCAACAGTGACGTGGGTGCCAAGACGCGTATGCTCTGACTGTTTGTGTGATGACAGGAGATACTTCGTTTTGTCCTCGTTCACCACCAGACCCATTCGCTTTGCTTCTCTATCCAATCCCGAGAAGGCAGAACAGACGTAGCCCTTGTTTTTACCGATAATATCGATGTCGTCGGCATACGCCAGCAATTGTACGCTCTTATAAAGTATTGTGCCTGAGCGGTTCAGTTCTGCGGCTCTTATTATCTTCTCCAACATAAGATTAAAGAAATCACACGAAAGGGAGTCCCCTTGTCTGAAACCTCGTTTGGTATCAAACGGCTCGGAGAGGTCCTTCCCTATTCTGACGGAGCTGGTGGTATTGCTCAACGTCATTTTACACAGCCGTATTAGTTTCGCGGGGATACCAAATTCAGACATCGCGGCATAAAGGCAACTTCTCTTCGTGCTGTCGAAAGCGGCTTTGAAATCGACAAATAGATGGTGTGTGTCGATCCTATTCTCGCGGGTCTTTTCCAAGATTTGGCGTATTGTGAATACCTGATCTATGGTGGATTTTCCAGGCCTAAAGCCACACTGATAAGGTCCAATCAGCTCGTTGACGGTGGGCTTCAGTCTTTCGCACAATACGCTCGATAAGACCTTGTAACCTATGCTTAGAAGGCTGATCCCGCGGTAGTTGGCGCGAATGGCGGGGTCACCTTTCTTGTGGATTGGGCAGAGCACACTTAAATTCCAGTCGTCGGGCATGCGTTCATCTGACCATATTCTGCATACGAGCTGATGCATGCACCTCATCAGCTCCTCGCCGCCGTACTTGAATAGCTCGGCTGGCAGGCCGTCAGCTCCAGCAGCTTTGTTGTTTTTCAGCCGCGTAATCGCTATTCGTACCTCGTCATAGTCAGGCGGTGGGACAGCTACTCCATCATCATCGACTGGGGACTCGGGTTCGTCTTCCTCACTACTTTCAGCGCTGCTACCATTCAGTAGGTTATAAAAGTGTTCCCTCCACAATTTAAGTATATTCTGGACATCGGTCACTAGGTCGCCATTGTTGTTCTTACAGGAGTTCGCCCCGGTCTTGAAACCTTCCGTAAGTCGCCTAACCCTCTGGTAGAATTTTCGGGCGTTCTTCCTGTCGGCCAGCATCTCAAGCTCTTCGCACTCACGTATTTCGGCCTCTCTCTTCTTATTGCGGCAAATACGTCTCGCTTCCTTCTTCAGTTCCCTATAACGGTCCCACATGGCTCGCGTTGCGCCCGATCGCAGCGTGGCCCTGTAGGCGGCATCTTTTTTCTCTGCGGCTTCTTGACATTCCTCATCGTACCAGTTGTTCTTTCGGGCTCGCTGAAATCCAACTACTTCTTCGGCGGCGGTACTTAATGATCGGGAAATGTGGTTCCACTGCTCGCGTACGTCGGATTGTTGAAGAGTGCTCTCAGAGAGCAGGTGTGTGAGTCGAGTGGCGAATAAATTGGCCGTCTGTTGTGATTGCAGCTTTTCGACGTTAAGCTTTCCTTGCATTGTTGGGCGCACATTTTTTGCTGCACAGAGGCGGGTGCGTATCTTGGCTACAACAAGATAGTGGTCCGAGTCGATGTTTGGCCCTCGGAGTGTACGTACGTCCAAAACGCTTGAAGCATGCCTTCCGTCTATCACAACATGATCGATTTGGTTTCTCGTTTTTCGATCTGGAGACAGCCATGTAGCTTGGTGGATGTTCTTATGCTGGAACCTAGTACTACATATTACCATATTTCGGGCCCCGGCGAAGTCGATCAGCCTCAGTCCGTTATCGGACGTTTCGTCGTGGAGGCTGAATTTTCCGACAGTGGCGCCAAAGATCCCTTCCTTGCCCACCTTGGCATTAAAATCGCCAAGCACGATTTTGACATCGTGTCGGGGGCAGCGCTCATATGTACGTTCCAAGCGCTCATAGAAGAGATCCTTGGACGCCTCATCCTTCTCTTCCGTCGGGGCATGGGCGCAGATGAGCGAGATGTTGAAGAATCTAGCTTTGATGCGGATTGTGGCTAGACGTTCGTCCACCGGGGTGAACGCCAGTACTCGGCGACGGAGTCTCTCTCCTACCACGAATCCAACACCGAATTTGCGCTCCTTTACGTGGCAACTGTAGTAGACGTCGCAAGGCTTCACGCTTACTTTACCTTGCCCCGTCCATCGCATTTCTTGGATGGCGGTGATGTCAGCCTTTGTCTTCCCGAGGACATCAACCAGCCGGGCAGAGGCACCTTCCCCATTAAGGGTCCGGATATTCCAGGTGCATACCCTTAAATCATAGTCCTTTATACGTTTGCCGTGGTCGTCATCAGAAAAAGGGGGTCTCATCCGAGGCTGGTTGGAATTTTTCATTGGGCGGGGTTTTAACGTGGCGGGACCCAAACCCAGCGCACGCGAAGTTTTACGCCTTCTCACTTTAGCTCGCTCCCAAACGGGTGTTTGGTTGCTACCCAGAGGATACGTGGATATAAATATCCGGACGTTGTGAGCTGCGATTTGAACCGTACGCACAAGAATCGCTTCTGGCCACTCCCAGGTGAATGGCAGTCAAAAGTTTTCCACTTCTGCGCACGGAACCATCCTCCTAATAAAAAAAATTCTCAAAAATAAGCAGTATTTTTTAGTCACTCTAAAACTTGCACTTTTTGTACTAAATTTAAATGGGCTACAAAACTGCTTGTCCGAAATTTTTCTAAAAATATTATTAATTTATGCACTGCAGATCATAAGATAGCACACCCCTTTCTTGGCATGTTTCTTTTTATTTGTATAAAATTTTTAAAATCGTATTTACAGGTAGAATATGCTACTCTTATAAAAAAATTAATGAATATTAAACAAAGAAAAGGAAAACTGTGCATACTGAGGATCAAAAGGGTACGCTATTCAAATGACTGATAGTGTATGTTTATTATCCTGTCCTTCTAGAATTTTAGCTAAGACTTCGGCTGCCTGCTGGATATACTCTTCCCACGTGCCCAGCAATGTCAAATGTTCTAAGGGAGTTTATAAACGCGGCCTAATTTTGAAAAAATCGCCACTTCCCAATACATAAGGTTGA